CATCACCGAATTTCAAGGCGGTGTAGCTCATGACAGGCAGCGCTAGCATGATCGCGAAAGGCATTGCTATGCGCCACTTCAATGGCGCATTCACTCTGATGGCGGCGCCAGTATCATCTCATCATGTTCTCATTCCGGTACAGACGCTAGGTCGGGAGCAGGGCGTGTGTCCCTGTCGCCAAATGATCCCTGTATCGTCCGTGGTGAAGGAACCTGCTTTACGAAGGACTTCACTCCGCGCATGCAAATCATGCTCGCCAAATCCGTCGGTTCGCCCGTCGCTGAGGTCGTCGAGGTGATCTCAGACACAAATTTGCGTGTGAAAAAAGAGTTTGGTGGCGACAAGGGCACAGCGCGCATTCGCGAAGTGTGTACTCAGAGCCCAGGAGGCCTTGAATTCAACAAACTGCCGTATGTCGACCAACATGAAATGTACAGATCTAGCTGTATACCAGTGCATAATTACACGTACGTGCATCAGCTAGGTCTGTGTCGGTGAAACCGACGCTTCCAAGTCTGTCTTTCAATCTTTCCAATTTTTATTCCTTATTTTGGCCGTATCTGTCTGTTTGATCAGGAAGGGTTTCCGTCCAGGGTGACGGATGACCGGCGTGCCACGGGCATCAGCAGAACTGTCGCATCCATGGATCTGCAGGATCGCGCACCGGTCTGCCACGCTCAGTACGGCTTGCCCGTCGATGATATCGTCGATAGAACAGGACAAGACAGTGACAAGCCTTGCCCCCAAGGTCGGTGGAGCAAATGCCACGTGAAAAGTCTTCGCGAGCCATCCGATGTCATGTTTGTCGTTTGTCTTGTTGCATGGTGCGTCTGACTGGTTTGTCCCTTCGTTTGTCTCGAGATTTGTCTCATGAGATCTGACTGCCTTCAATTCTTATATAGGTACCGCGGTGGTCTTACCCTCACCGGGAATACCTAGGGTCTGTTGGCGCAAAGCCGTAATCTGTAGCGAATCGCGTTTCTAGTACGTTTCTAGTAAAGGCATACATATACACGCTCCAAGATACTTGTACAACATGTACAATTGCTTACTTGCAAGCCCATGAACCACCACACACACACCGTGAACGCCACAATCTCTCCCACACACCCCATCGGGTCGGGCTAAATCCTTGCCTATCTAGAGACTCGCCCCCGCACCTCAGACACACCAAGCGACGTCCAGGTGTGAACGATGCCTGCTTGGATATGACATCCACCTCTTGCGGTTTGTTCGGGTTTTCCAAAACATCAAGCGTTAGCCCGTCGACCAAGTCGGATGGCTTGATGAACAGCCACAGGCGATCGGGAACCTTGCTCACGGCACGCACGGCGGTCCGCAACTCACTCTGCACATCCGCGTCCGCCAAAGGCATGCAAGAGACGAGACTTTTGATATGGGACTCTGTGACATTGCTCTTCTCTGCGAGCTCGTGGAGCACGTTGGTCAAAGCGTCAAGTGAAATACCAGAACAATCGATAGCGTCGGTCAGGACATCTCTAGCCGCCGGGATACCTTGTTGGTAGGACTCATTGGTCAACTGATCACGGAATCGTTCAACGTGAGCCACAGCGGCGGCCAGCGATTTTCGCGCGCCGGGATGGGCTAGATGTAGAAGTACAGGTGACGAAAGTGGTGGCAGGGCAGTTGCTTGAGTGTCTGAATCAACAGCCTGTGGCGCGGATGATGCTGTAGGGAGGATTTCCTGAGGTGGAAGCGGCTGGAAAGGCTCAGATACTCACGGGATGATGGAGCTGAGCCAAAGAGATCGTCAGGACTTCTATCCTCGTTTTTGACTTCACCGGTAGGATTCCCGTTTTCCGGTGTTTTCTGAGGATTCGATGCTGAACCGTCATTAAGACCAAGGGCATGGTCTTTGGCATGAAGCTTGACGTCTGGCAGGCTATCACTACAAACGACACATTGCCGCAATAATCGTTCAAGAAAGTTGACGATCCAAGTGGACAAGGCCAAAAGATGCCACGAAGAATCTGAAATGATGGATGAGATATGACCGGGCCCCACTCATGACTTCTCACCTAAATCATAGCCACCTTCGTTGCCGACTCCTTTACCTGTATGTTACAAATCAATCTACGCCCTTACTTCGAAGCTCCCAACTGGCCTTTACTGCCTGTACCAGTGCTATTGCGTTTGCAATATTCAAACGCAAGATTGCAAGCGGCTATCGAACAAATATCATGCTCTGTGCGCCAGTAATCGAGATCAAATCCCTTCTTAGCTCGTTCTCTAACATGCCTGATATTAGGACAAACCATGGATCTCGTGCCGAGCGATTACCTGTATACTTCAATCGCAAGTCCCGCTACAAGGTAGTTGGCGGAGCCCACAGCGCCGCGCGCGTGTTTCTCTAGCAGCCGATGCGTGATATACAATGTCTCCATTAGATGAGTGTCGATGAGGTCCTGGCTCGCTGCATCCACGGGCCGCGGTGTCTTGTCCACGTCGCGCTGTGCAACGAGGACGTGTGCGATGTCGTCCGTCGTTCGCAATGACAAAAGTGCGGCACAAAATAGCAAGGAGAGCGAGTTGGCTACACAGTAAAGCCGTCAGGAAATGGAACAAGAATATGAAATGTGATCAAGTTCACCATATGCATTGGCTGGTTTTGGAAGAGCGTACAATGAAGGCGTTTGCGTCAAGGGAGAGTTGGAAAACGCGCAGAACATCACTGCGTTTGGCGACACAGCCGAGTAGAGCGGCACTAGTGGCATTCAAGCACAAAAGCACTCGAGGGGGCGCAGGTGTGAGTTACCTTCCAGTCCCGCACAATCCGCAGACGTAACAATGGGCGCAGGTATCCAGTCAGAGTCATCGCTCAAGTTTGGGCTACGTCATGGAGTCGATATCATGGAGGCAAGGGATGAAGCGTGGCAGAGATGGGGGTGGGGGAAGGTGGAAATAATCAGCCGGAGCGGAAAATCTCCAATGACCACAAACGCACATTTTCAGAACCGTGGAAGTCCCAATGCGAACTTTAGCCGCCTTCTTGGATCGCCCGAGGTGTGGCGGAAGCTGTCCTGCTGCGTCCAGAGTGCACACGATAACGCCAGTACCACGACCTGGCCTGCAAGGTATGATAGTAGTGACATATACATCCGGAAACGATCGCGTCGCATCCAACGTGGTTTTCTGCAGACGTTTCCCATTTGTGAGCGACTGAGTTGGTGGATAATTATAGCTGCAAGGTGGGTTTCGTTCTTACCCAGTTAGCCCTTGATGTCGACGGCGCCAGAGCATTTCCAGCGGATACCATGGTGCTGCCTATTGCTGTCCCAGGACAAGAAAAAGAATAAACGCAGACGTCCGATCGAGGAGAACCCGAAAAGTCCCCAAAGTCCAGATGCGTTGTTAGCAAGTGAAGTTCTCCGCGACCTTTGTTGGGAGACTGTGCGTCGTCTTCATTGAGAGGCACAAGCCGTGGCACGAAGGCCATGCTGGCCATGCCTAATTTGACGGAGAGTATGGGCGGCAACGGGTCGGAAACGAGACCTGGTGGAAGAAGACAGGATGAATGAACGTCTTGAATGAGGATAACGCCGGTGCTACAAACTCATAATCATGCCATCGAACTTGATATCCAGCGCGCAGATTTCCACGGTTGACTCTTCACCCCAGACTTGTGATTCGTCGAGAGTGTCATCATGCTGTCGTGCCATGTTTGTATCCGAGCCCATTGGGTCAAGCGCGACATCGGATGCTTGGGATGGGACGATGCGCGAGTGCATCGCGATCAAGATGGACGCGTCTTCGTAGACGAAATCAGTACATAAGTGCACAAAATCGCCCTGTTCACGCACCAGCGTATGTCTTCCCGATAGCAGCCTTGTAACAAATACGGACACTGCCCGCACAATGGGACGGCTTATTGTGCAATGGCTGCCCGGTCACAGCCGGACCGGGGATCAGCAGAGAGCATGTTATCACGTCAAAGACAGTCTTATATTGCTGCAAATAACACAATTGCGCCTCATGCGCCTGTGTAACAAGGAGGAGCGTGGAGTTGGATATCGGCGTGAGGGGGCCGCAGGGAGGAAGGCGAGCGGCCTTGCCCGAGGAATCCACAACACACTTATTGAAAGTCCCATGAAACTAACCAAGAACATGAAGCCGAAATATTCTCACCTCACGGGATGTGCCGAGCCAAGTGGCGCACACGACACCGGCGCCGGGAGGAAATGATCGCCATTGCTGAACCTCCCATGCGTCCAGAGTCGCACCACGACTCCACAGACATCCTATGCCTTCGCCGACTATGCCTGGAAAGTAGGCAAAAAGCCGATCGCCTGATGGAGCGGCAGAAACGACTGATGGAGGACTATAAGCTCCCGGCGTAGTGAGAACTGGGGCTGGCGAGGGTATGGTAAACCGCTTGGACGACGAAAAATGGCAGCCTATCAAAATCGGCTCTGTCGGATGGGCTGAGAATATGATTGAGCTTGTAGACCATTCTATGGGCCTATGTCCGACATATGTCCGACAAAAATCAGCATGTGAGCGGCGTCGACAAGGAGAGTGCACGCACGTCGCGCAGTCGTCCAACAGCGGTGCAAAGTTCCACCAGCCATGTTCCCAGCTCGTCTCCTTGCGCTGCTTTCCTTTCTGATGCTTGTTCTCGTTCAGCATGTTACGAGTGCTTATTCGCGCCTGTGCAACCCTGTAAGCAGTCTTCTCGACCTCGCGATCGAACCTACAGAATGAGACCAGAAGTCCGAACAGGTCTCTTCACTAGCAGTAATGAATATTCATATCAAGCTTCCGAAGGCAAATTTTGACCGATACAGTGTTACAAAGCCGTGGCCACGTGCGACGGAGGCCGTGCTTATCCCGATCATTCTTCCCAGACGAACCCAGGCTCAGCAGTGTCAGCTTGAGCATTCCTCCGTAAACCCTCGACAGCTAATCGCAAGGAAGTTGTGTGAAAATATATCAGCTATGGTACCACAAACACGGAAAACTAAACTTGTGTACCAACGAAAGACCCAACCGTGGTTCGAACACGGGACCCTGAGATCTGCAATCTCATGCTCTACCACTGAGCTATTGAGTCGCCGAAGCAGCCTCCTGCAAGCCATATATGATGCATGTTTCCTCATATTGGCTTAAAAACTTGTAATCCCTTGTTGGCCATATGTATCTGTTTGCGCTCGCAAGTGCGCAAATGGTGCTGTCGCACGGGCCCGTAATCGAATCTGCTGGTGCCGCGCGGTTTTCGAATATTCTGGAATGATGCTCGAACCGGACGCCGCGTTCGAAGACTTTTCAAAAAGCGGGTCGGGCAGCATTGCTTCCGCCGTTTCTTCACGACTACCATCCACTTTTGCCCAGGTGCGTTCTTCTTGTGCCCGTCAACTTGTTCGTTGTTGTTTACAGCTGTTTCCATTTCGTCCTTCCTCTGTGTTTTCCAGCGTCGCTGCTCACTCGTGCAACGCCCTACCCAGCTTCATAGCCAAAACAATCCGTACCTCTCACACACATCCCAAATGGCTGCGCAGGCGACGTTCAAGTCCATCAGGGCCGTTGTGCCTCTCCTCGACCGTGTTCTCGTCCAACGCTTGAAGGCCGACACCAAGACTGCGTCTGGCATTATCCTGCCCACGTCCGCGACGAACAGCCCACTTCCGGAGGCAACCGTTATCGCGACCGGCCCAGGTGCACTCAACAAGGATGGTGTTGTCATCCCGACACAAGTGCGCGCAGGTGACCGTGTCCTCCTTCCTGGTTGGGGCGGCAACACCATTAAAGTCGGTGACGAGGAGTACCACCTTTTCAAGGACTCGGAAATCCTCGCTAAGATCCAAGAGTAAATGCGCTTGGCTATTGGACGGTTGGCGTACCTCGTCCTTGCCTGTGTTGGAGTCGGAGAAACGGTACGAGGAGGTCGTTTGCATTGGGGAGGTATCAGAAGCAAAAGTAAAACAATAAGCACGTTCCCGGCATGTCGTCCAGTGATCTCATGGCGGGACATGCCTTCATATCATCCTGTTGCATATCTAGTAGACCCGTCTAATTCACGAACACCTCGCTGACCAGTCGTTCAATTGATGTTGTGCCGAAGGTGCTGAATTGCTTCACTAGGTAGGAGCTACGTATGAATACCAATGACACTACGGAACTATTTCGAGGTTCGATAGGACAGCGCGTTCCCATTCCGTCCATCCCTCTTCATCCTTTTCCGCAGGATCTTTCAAGGCACGTTCAAAGACCTCCCACGGAACACATTCATAGTGCACATCATCTGTAGACTCTGATCTCTCTTCGGTTGTCGAATCCGTAGGTTTCGAGTCGGTAATGGGAGTCTGTGTGTCAGCCAAGCCTTCCGCATTCTTTGGTGCATTTAGCGACGCCTGAGATGGCGATGGTGGTGCAAGCACGAAGCGCCCCTGCCGTGCACGCTGCAGAGTGACGATATGCCCTGCAGAACCGACGAGATGTGCAAGGTCGTGTGCGATTGTTCGCACATACGTGCCGGATGATACTGTCATATGCAGAACAAATGCCGTCGATGACTTCCCTGGCGCAGGCTCTTCCGACGGGTCACTCGCCAGGGCAGCATCGGCCACTGTCCCTACAGAAGGCGCTGTAACATCGCCTGTAGTATTATTGACACCCACGGGTAAGGCTGGCGTGCCAGCAGCTGCAGGTGCCACTTCGACACTGCGGAGCGTCTTTGCCAGCGCCGTGCGCTCGTCGTCAGACAAGCGACGCGATGGCCACTGCCAACTTGAGTCGGTGGCGTCTATCCACTGAACAATCTCAAGTCTGTGTACAGTCACAGGCCGCGCTTCGATTTTCCGTGGCAATGGCAGTCCTTTGCGCGCGTACTCGTATAGCGGTTTACCGTCCATTTTAAGGGCGGAAAAGCTGTTACGCAGAAAAGAAGGATGTTGATGCACGACTATGAGCACAACGGCAACAATAAAAGTTATAAGAGACGATGATAGAATGCTGACGCACATTGGTGGCACCTGAAGGATGTTTCCTGTAAGCTTGGGAAGGGCCGCCTCGACCATTTCTCTTGTGACATGCTTCCACGGCATTTGGCGAACCTGTGCGCCCTCACTGTCATAGGTATCTGTTTCGCAGCCCAAGAGACATGTTGCTCGATACTCCTGTCAAATCGAAAAGCGTTTTCAATACAAGGAAATTTTCTAGCAGTAGACGCAGAAACGCACCTTCGTGCAGTGTAAGAAGTCCGTCAACTTTTTTGTGCCTTTACCCACACCGATGACTTAAAATGGCACAAATGTCGATAAAACGGAAGAAGATCATCGATGAGGTGGACGGACGTCAAAATAGAAACGAGGCGCACCAAGAACGCCGTCCGCAAGAGGGTCGAGCGTGCCGCCCTGTCCAACCTTGACGACATCGCGCGGACGCTTGTTACGGCGCTTGTGTCCACCACCACGCGACTTCTTGTCCTGCTCATTCAGCTCATCGATCTTATCCTGAGGGACGAAGATGCGCGAGCGCGCGACAAGTCGCTGCACGTCGTTCACGAGGGACATGGACGTCGGTCCCGACGGCTTGACGATACCAAACAAGCCAGATACAGGAAACACTGGCTTGTCAGCCTTGGGCATTCTGACTGAGCGTTTGAGGAAGTGGAGGAGCGTATCGAGAGCCGCCACTTCTGTAGATCAGGTGCAATCAAAGCCACTGAAAGACGGTAACAGAAGCAAGAACAAACGTCGGGAGTCGGCGGCATCGTTGAACGCCGATCAAACGTCGTTCAATCACCGAGACATCAACACACTCACAATTGTCCAATAAACACCAAATACCAGCCTGTGAGGATCAGGACCCTCTCTTCACGGCCTTTGTACCGATACGTCCATGTACCGCCCATCTCGCGCCTCGTTGACTCTCCCATGTCTCTGCTTTATACTGTTATTCGGTCTCGTGCTATGTTACCGGCTATAAATGTGTTACTATCACACGTCTCTGTGTATCCGACGGATCTGCAAGTCTGTACGCATAGGCTCATGTACACACTCGTGGAATCAACTCTCACTCTGGATTGCGCTTCTTCTCTCTCTCGTGTGCCTTCGATGTTAGTTGCCGAACAGCTCTCCCATCACACAGCCTGTGATCATAAGCACATGGCTATTCACTCGTTATGATTGATACATCCATAATAAATAACTACTATTGACTCAGACTTACGAAGAAATCCGATTCTCCAGACTCTGCTTTATAGCTGTTGAGAAGGTCAGCACTATGAAAGCCGGCTCCTTAGAATGCGCTTACCATCACACGTTTCTTTAGCATCTCCAAACAACATTTTGGCATTCGGCATGAAGAACATAGGATTAGGGACATCAGCTGGGCAGAAAAGTTAATACGATTCCAGCTCTTCTTTTTGTGAGTGACGTACCATATCCGCTCGACATGCTTCGCTTCATGACGACGACTTGTTTGCTCTTCCACACATGGAGTACGGGCATACCCTATCCATCAAAAGATAAACGGGGTCAATTTGATTGACAAAGCAATGCTCACGGCAATAGGGGAACTAGGTTCCAGCGCGATGGGATTCACAGTGTCGTTAGCACCAATGACAAGTGTGACATCAGTTTCACTGAAATCGTCGTTGATCTCGTCCATCTCCAACACGACTGGCCTTTGTGTCACAATATGCAATTTTACCAACCTTATCTGTGCACTCACTGTCGTAAGGAACAGCTGCCTCGGCAAGCAGAACATTGCACTGTCCGGGCATGCGGCCGGCGACAGGATGGATCGCAAACTATGCGCAATATTCGATCGATGTGTTATGGAGCTCGAGAAGTAAACGTACCCGGACGTTGATTCCCTTGGAGCGCAACATGGCACAGATTTCCGAAATAGCATACTGTGCCTTTGCGACAGCCATGCCGTAACCCACAACCTTGAATCATCAGTCAATCCACTGGGTTAGTCAGGAAGGCCCCATGCGCTCACCAGAATCACGTTCTCCGCATTCACGAGTGCATCCACGGTCTCTTCTACGCCGGTCTTTGTGACCGTTCCTTCGATTTTATGGGCCTCCTGAGTAATGGGAGCTATCCCACCGAATAGCACATTGGCCAACGAACGGTTCATTGCTTTACACTGTCACGCAATGCATACTGATCATACATCTCGAAACAATGTAGTATCTGTAGAGCGCACCATAATCCAAGACAGAATTGAACCGCTCGTTCCGATCAGCGCGCCGACGGACGTCAGAAGCGGGTTGTCCAACATGAATCCTGTATATTGTCAGAAGCAGAGCAAGCATGCAGGTGGTCGAAAGGAACCTTCAGCGACCAGAGCAAATCCGGAGTATGCATTGAGCACAGTGATTACGACCGCTGCACAACACCCATCTGAGCATTACAAGTAATACCGAACAACGGCCACTTACGCATGTCCGCGCCACCTACAGCAGCCGTGGTTGTGTAGCCCTGAATAAAACTCAAAAGGGTGCTGCCGCCGAGATACGCAGCTGCGATAGCTGGAGTAGCTGGCGCAGCCGAAAGGAAACCAGCCATGGTAAGTATGTTCGCGCCGAGAATCGAACTGTTCACTAGATGCTTGTGAGGAAGCGCAAGCGGGCGCGACGACACCCGGCCTGCGAGCTTCAAGAACGCGACAATGGAACCTGTGAAGGTAATACCACCAATGACGACGCCGAGGTAGGCCGTGATGAGGTGCAGATTTGATGCATGTCCAGGATCGGCGATGATGCTACCGATGCTCGTTAGTACTGCGGCGAGACCAACCACGCTATGGAGCGCTGAATTGGGTGTCGCGTGTCAGCCGTGAAGAGACATAGACCAAGCCGCGGACGCACCTGCGACCATCTGCGGAAGTTGCGTGGGCGTCGTACGTCTGCCGATGATAGCTCCCAAAGTACCACCGATCGCGGCAAGACCTGCAAATTGGGCGAGAACTTCCGGCGAGAAGCCGACGGCCGCGAGAGACGCAAGGATGCCAGAGCCAACGCCCAGCATGCCGAGGATGTTGCCGTGACGTGCTGTTGTCTGAGAAGAAAGACCCGAAAGAGAGCCTGAGCATACCATGAGC